ATTTTTTAACACGGCCGGGAACGCTCGACGATAATAGAACTATGATGAACGACGGGGAATCGAAGAATAAATGTTCGTTCCGAGTAATCATCGAGGCAACGCGGTTTTGAATATGAAAGGAAAAAAGACGAACAGCTGTTAAAAGTCACTCGGAACTGGAATGGCGAAAAAAAAACAAAGAAACAGGCAATTCCGAGCATTACTTATGCGCGAATCGGCTGTAAACATTAGGCTGACGAGTAGTAAATAACCGATTTAGCATTTCTATCTACAGGAAAATATGTTGAACAACAGGAATAGGTATACACATCGCGATACATTGTTATAACCTGCTATTATTTCCGCGGAACAAAGTCTAACCTTTGTTATCTTCAACAACCCATTGAACGAATCTTCGTTACTATAATTTCATTTGTAGCGAAACTTTCACTGCGTTAATAATCGCGGAATAGAATAATATTTCACCGCGCCCGTTACGATTTCGAATACGTTCTCCTCGCGAGAGTCGCTTCCGGGGCAGGTAAGCGACGGTTCATTTGAATATGCAACGGTCCTCGAATTCGAAGATAACGCGAATTTGACCGATAACCAGCGCCGCCGCGTCGGTGCTAGCGGATAACCGGCTTCCTTGCTTTCTTTGAAGGGAGAAAAAGCGCGGAACGGCCGAGAAAGATGAAAGAAAAAAGTCCGTTGAGCACCTGCGGCGGAATTTATGCGTCGCGTACAAGTCACCCGTATCGTTTCTCGTAACAAATTACATGCATACTTGATGGAACGAGATATTTATTCGCCGGAGACCCGCGGGACCATAACGAACCGCCGCTGGCTAATTTTCACACAATGCGCCATTTTACGTTATTCCATCTTAATAATTAACACCCGGCCAACAACTAATGCCGCGCTTCACGCCTAACAGTCTCGCGAATTAATTTAAACGAACGCTTAACGCGCCTCTGCCGTATCCGTCCATCGTCGCTTCAATTTTCCTCGGAATACAATCAATTTGCGCCGGATCGCGGCGAGCGATCTCGAGGCGCCACGCTGTCGAAATTCATCCCGCGCGCATCCAGATCGGGATAAAACGGCTTTGATAACGCGGCGATTTGATTAATTGCGATTAATAACGCGCGCATCTACTCTGCGAGTAGAGCTCGGGGAAGAAATATGAGTGGCACTGTTCATGCCGATTTAAATTACACGGTTTCGCGTTTCAGAATTATTTGGTTCGTCAATCCCGGCCGCCCGGAGAAAAATGGCGGGCCGATTAACTACGGTTAACGGTAATTCGATGCCTCGCGGGTCGGTAAATATCGGTGTACGGCGGAGGAAACGCCGGTCCTTTTGCCGGGCCGCGCGTTAAATCGAAATTCATTAGCGCGAGATGGACGCGTTTCACGGAAATTGCGGGGATTCGATCGATCGCGAATTATAATTAACGTTGATTGAGTTTCTTTAAACAGAACTTCCGACTATCCGCGGGAACAGCATCAATGTTATCAGGGTAATAATTAATGCTCCTTCAGATTTCCAAATTAGTCGAGATTGACTGATTTCAATTAAATCCCGGAGGAATTATCGAGACTGAAAAATCTCACTGTTGCACACTTCCCTTTAATCTAACCGACACGATCCTCTTAAAATTCTCAAGTTTAACCTCGGAGCAGCTAAATATCCAGCCTCTTCGCTCCAAGACTGAATCGTGACTGACCCATCCCTTGTTTCAGACGAGAAAACCCGAAAATTTGCATCCAGGTGCCCGAAGTGCCGAAAAATCCCGCGGAACCGACTGTTCCCGCCGCATTCACGTGTTTTCTTTTGTCTTCCCGTTACGCAACACGTCTGTGGATCGGTCGACCTTGCCTGCGAACAATATGGCGGGGGATTCGCAGGTCTATTGCCCGGGCAAAGAAACCCGGCATCGTTCCAGGACGGGCGCACACGTGTCACGGCGCGTTTTCCTTCGAAAACTGGAGCAATTTATGGGGCCCCGAGAATCACCGCAATACACGCGGGTTTCGCCGTCATCTGGCTTTTTTCTTAGCCGGCTGGCGAGTCCTCTCTGTGGCCCATTATGTAGTAGACCATTCGCTCGCTCGCTCGCTCGCACGACGGAGAAATGAGGATTTATGTCGGGCAATTCGAAACTGGCCGATTTGTATCGTCACCGAGCAGCAAATAGGCTAATTCCCTTAGCAGGAACTGTAACAGGGACCAGCAACGTGTTCGCCAGAAGGTAAACCTATTCACGATTGTTCTTCGAGCCGATCTTAGGATTCTAATTCAATTATCCCGCGCGACGAACGGGAGAAAGTCGGACGATCACTTGCTAGCACGTTGCAATTAATGATATATAGGAGGGATATCGCCAGTAATACTTTGTACTCGTTAATAATCGCCCTCTAATCCCGAGCCGATACAGACCGATTAAATTACGAATCGCGTAATACGAATTACCGCTACCGAAAGCTGCTCGCCGATATTTAGCTCGCGTTTAATACCATTTCATCGATGAGATTGTATCTGATGAATTTCGTTAGGTTAAACAGGAAATTTTGCTGAATTTTACTTGTATATTCGGAAGCTTGTTAAGGTTCTGTAAATTCTCTAGTCTTTACGCGCTTGTTTCGACTATCGACGTATAAAATACATGACAATACAGTACTTCTGAAATGACTTGTTATTTAAAACTTGTTTAGCGAATACATCTTATAACAAGGGATATCTTATTCGTTTCTTTTCCTACGGTTCTCAAATGAAATTTAGAAGTAATTTATTTAGAGACTCGAATAATAAACTCGAAAACCAGAAAACGTCGAGAATCCTCGATCGAGGTAAGATCATCGCACGAATCCTCGTTTTTCCGTCGCTGAAAGCGATTCGAGCGGGGACTTCGAAGTCGTGGACGATCGTTGGTCCACGGTCTCGATCGGAACAAGGACAAGAAATCGCATGCAGAATGTACTCACCGATTTGCGAGACGGTGGCTCGAACAGGGCGGAAAGTCCGGGCAACAGCGTCACGGCACGCTGCTTCCTCGTCCGACGTGAGACGCAAACTGACTCGCAGACCGCACCGAGACCGTGTTTCTAAGGTACTCTATAAAAAGTTTATTGCTCGAACGCGAAATAAAACCTTTTTCTCGGGCAACGGGAACGATCGGCGATCATCGTGTCGCCGTAATGGGGCCCGATGACGAAACAATGATGCGGTTCGCGGCGGATGAGGTTTCGAAGTAGTCACGATGTTGCTGATTCGAAAAGAATAAGCCTGGCAAGCTTTTCGACATTCTTTTGCGGTTTAAATTACTGATAACCGTGCGAAAACTCGAATCCTCTGTCTTCGAAGTGTTTCTGTTGGCTCGAGAATGACGTGACGCGAATGGATTGTTGATGACGGTTGACTGCGGGTCTTTCGGCGGAATATTATACTTATAGATGCATTTAGGATCACTGGGCTACATATGAAATTATACTTCTGTGTTGAATAAAGTAGAACAAATTGCGAGAACAATGAGGAAGTTTGGTGAAGCTATTCTTTTGTGTCTTCAGCAATGAAATATGCTATAAACGCGTCAGATCCGCAGTCTATTCGTGGGAATTCGAAAATTACTTATGATCTCGTGTATAGTTGCAAGCAAACTAAAAAAGATGTTGTAATATTAATAGTATAGGAAGAAACTTGACGAAACACACGTTCGAAAGCCTTCGCTATTGGCAAAATAAAAAGGTACTGAGGTCTACAAGGCATTCAACAAAACGGAAATCAGCTTTTCTACATGCCATCGGAGATAATATCCCTTCTAAATGAAACTGTTCACAGTAGAGGCCGTGTCTTCCATTAAAACCCCATGAATTATTCACTATCTACAATCAACACTTAAATGGCAGACTCTGCAAGTGTTTCCAAACTTTCTACCGATACTTTAGCACCGAAACAAATGTACCGGCGGTTTCCAGTGATAAGATGGCGGCGCAACGTAAGATGAAAGCTACAAGCGCTACGTGAAACATCTTAACAGACACCATTACGAAAACACCAATACCGACATCTCAAATACAACAAAATCATCGAAACCAAGCATCGAACAAAGAACCATCCGCTTCTAAAATCAACGAAGACCAAGATCCACGCGAATACTCCAAAAACGTGCCCCAAACCGATTCATTAAATAAAAACAACATACTACCGAATCTCGAAAAGCTCTATCATACATGAACACTCGAAAACCGAACTCCAAGCTCGTCGAGAAGCTAAAAAACAGCGTACTCCCGACTTTCAAGAACTTAAAGTCTAAATACCTCGAGAAATCCGTATGCTCGCCGATCGCCGCGGGACTGCCCTCGATGACTCAAGAGGGCGGAACGGCGGTAACAATGAAAAATCGTCGCCGAGTCATCGAATCGCGGATGGTGTCCACGTCGCGGATCAAGGGGTATTCCCCGGGAATATCAAGGAATCGAGGCGAACATGAGCCACGGGGAAATGTTCCAGGTAACGTCCTGCGAAAAAGAGAGAAAGAGAGAGAGAGAGAGTGAGCGTGAAGGGGGACAGGGTAACGGGTGGAACAAAAAAATAAAAGGAAACATCGATCGGCGGCGTTCGCGATTCGGCCGCGAAGATGGCAGCACCTCGCCAAGCGATCCACCGTCGGCGGGGGTAAACCATTGATGGCCGCGTTTTTTCTTTTTGTTCGTCCGCGTGCTTTTTTTCCCTCCCGGTTGCTTTTTTTCGCCCGGCGTCCCTCTATTCCTCTCGTAGTTGGCAGATTAGGCTAATGCGATGGACCAGATGAGATATGGGCCAGCGAATCGGAGGACGGTGCTGGCACGGCAGGGGCGTGACTGTACCCTGGAAACGGCCGTGCCCCGGGCCACAGTCACGACGTAAACTAAGTGCTGGGTGGAGCCCCGTCTAGGCACTACCTACTCGATGGAACCATCATCCTCTCCCTCGAATGTCACGGGGCAACCGAATGGCTGCCGCATCGAAAACGGCGGGAATTTTGAAATGGTACCGCGATCGACGAGCGGCCCTCGCTGCGTTTCCGATGGTGCGCGGGATCGGTTGCGATCGGTATTCGTCGTAGGCTGTTTCTAATCAGTCCTTCCGGGTTATTCGGCTGGTATGAAGTCGTCGGAGTTGTTTTGATAAATAATTATCGGATTCCTTGGAAGAACCGATGGCCCAGCTGGGTACAAATGGTAATTCGATTGTATTCTGGAGTTTGATGCGTAGTAGTGGTTGGATTTGGTTTTTAGACTATTTCGTTAAGTGTTCGTTGAGTTTATTTGGAGAGTTGAAGGTCCAGGTACAAATGGCACTTCGATGTCCGTTTCGAGGATTGATCTTCGAGTCCAGACTGGAGTATTGTATGAGAGGGGGGCGTGAGTTTGCTTGAGTTTGTTGTAAATTAAAATCTGCTTGGGATTCTTCGAGTTTAGTTGCGGGACAGTCTTTCTTAGTAAATGGCACGGAAATATAACGTGGTAGTAGATGTCTGGTAGATGTCTGAGAGTAGAGTGACTCATGTGTCACCTGTCACGTTTACGTTACACCCCATAATCTATACAAAATGTGACAGAATGTATCACTTCCGAGAGATTTAGGCTGGCCATGTTTAAAGTAGTCCGTCTTCTATTATCTCGAGTGTCTCTTTCGAAAGACGAAAGGTGTCCATCTGTTAATCTAAGTTTCATCCATTTCATTCGCTTCGGTGTGCCAAAGTTGGTTCCAATTCACAATAAATCTTGCGTCTGTATCTCAATGTTGATCACCGATTCTATCCGGACGATGACAATATCATTTTCAACGCTGTAACTGTTCCCGACTCCGTCACCTGAAACAGATTGAATATTTATCATTCACAGCATTCGTGGCCCTCGCAGTATTGAAAAACTGCCAAAGAGTTGAACACTGAAACCGGATAATGACGCATCACTCTATGTCTTTAACCCCTTACAATACACGCTCGAACTCGCGCAATAAACACTGTCAACGTGTATAAACACATCGAAAACCAAAAATAAAAGCGTCGAAATCATATCGATTCCCGCGAACCGTTGAAGAGGTTACAAACAAATCTCCCGAAACTATTCTTCAAACCCCATCGGTGCGTAAACGAACAAAACAAATTCATCATCAGACGAGCAGATTACACCGGGAACAGCGTCAAGTCAAACACATGTAACCTCCAGAGGCAACATCGCTGTCCAGCGCCGACCCGACTGCGTCAAACGCGAAAAGCATCCACCCCCGAGCGAAAAATCAACAAAAAACCGTGCTTGTCCGGCGCCGTGTACCCGGCATAATTCATTTCAATAACTTCGCTCTTAAAGCGGTGAACGACGGAGCGAAAACAGAGCCCGAAAAAAACACACGCACACGCACGCAAAGAGACAAACAGACAGACAGACGGACGGACAGACAGACAGAGAGTTACGTAGCCCGGCTGCGAGAGCACTTTTCAGTCGATCGGGCTTCGCCGGGTATTTTTTCACGTCCGTTTGCCCGTTTCAATCCCCTGTTCGGCCCCGCTCCTCATCCATCTGCCTACCGATATGCGTCCGGGGGCATATCTCTCGGCCACTTTTCAATTTCGTCCGACGAATTTCCAACCGCCCCCCTCCGCCGCTTGCCGAACCGTACCATCGCGTCGTTCGGCTGCCGATTCGCTCAATCTGCGAGCCCGATTCGCGCGAAACATAAATCCGAGAAGTTTCTATTATTTAACCGGTCTTTCGTTATTTACCTTCCCCGGAATCGACGTTTCCGGGGCGGCGGGCCGGTCAAGGTGGCGAAAACGGCGGTAACCCGCAGCTCCGAAACGAAATTAGCAAGCTGGAGGCTCGACCGATCCTCGCCCCTCCGCCGTACACCCTGGCCCGCGAACCTTTGGGGATACTGCACCGGTGTCATCGGAATATACGGCTAATTGCGAGGATGTTTTGTTGGCCTGTCGGAACTCGAGACCATCTCCCCTTACAAGGTTTTGCATTTAGCCTTTCCGTATCGACGACACGTACAGCACGGGACTCCGCGGAACCGGGCGAAGTTTCCACGGCGTCCCCCATCGGCCGCCTAACTTCCCATCCGACGCGTTAATAGACGGCCCTGTGTACGCTGAAAGTTGCTATTCCAGCACGGAGTTTACCGTGACACGGGGAGGACTGGGCTCTGATGGGAAGATGGCTATCGCGGATGACGCGCTGTCTTCTTGGACACTGCGGGCTGGTATTATCCGCTAGCGGATAGTGTTGACCGGAGTTGAGCGAAGTGTGAGAATTATTATTCACGGGGAATCCTGATCGTAACGATTGCGGCCGGCTGAAATTGATGATTACAATTTGCCCGTTAACTTTCAGCAAATTGGACGAAGTTTGTTTTAAAGCAACCGTGGAACGTAACTTAGAGTCTACCGGGTGTTGAGTTTAGGATGTAGACAGTGATAAAGAGAAGAGTTGTGATGAAGAAATCTGAAGTATCTACTTATAGAACGTTTACAATGTGTAGAACCACTCGTAGCAACCCCTTTCGTAAAATTAATAATTCCGAAGTAAGAAGAGGGTGCTAAGCGATGAAACTATAATACATCGCAGGACGAAGTAACTTCTAATAGCAATATCTAATTATTCCTGAAGAAAAGCGAATGATTTAATCCAGAACGACGCTCGATATTTTCCCCAGCCACCAATCCAAGCGACAAGGGACAAGATACGGATCCACCGTGTGACAGTGACCAAGCGCAGACGGTTCACGACTAAATACAAAGGGCCCCGAACAATTTTGATGTATCGAGCCCGCTCGGAGCGCGATCTTATCGGCGCACAATCGTCGAATAATTCTCGCGGCGTCCGCCGGTCCCCGGGTCGATTGATTTGTTAATTAAGTCGTGGAAATACTTTTGCACGCACGCGACAGGACGTATTAATCGGCGAACGCCGGAGGTCATATATTGTTTGTGACGCTTTAGACGCGAACATTGATTGCGAGAGAGACGCCGGCGTCGCTCGGCGGTTTGCAGAGGAGAGACGGTCGGCCGCGGGGGGCGGCACGGCGGTGTCCCGGGGGAGGAAAGGAAGGAGAGGGGGCGGCGATATTATTGATTTATGTCCCGTTCTACGTTATGTATTCTAGCTCCTCCACACCGGCACCGAATGATCCGACCGAAGTGCAACGTTCTCGACGGTTTAAGCTTCGACTTTGAATATTCCGACGCCCACCAACCCTCTATTCTTGATACAGACGCTGTTGTCCCAGCAAGACGTGTGCTTCATAATGTTATTAATACGTCGCCTTTCTTGCGCAACGATCGCGCGTAAACATGGCGAGTAGGGTTTACATAATGTTGCGTAAGGGTAGCTTGCTGATAAAATGTGATTCGGAAATCCTTTCTTCGAAGGAACAGGGGAATTCTGGGGTTGAAGTTTCGCGCATTCGAGTAATACGAGAATGTAGCCTTTGGTTTGAAATTGGGTAGCAGGAAGATTCGTCGAGCATGCTTTGAACAGTTGAAATGAGGAAAACGAGTCTAGGTAAATAAGGGATGATAAGGTTAACGATGATCTATTGGAACTCAATGCTTGAACCAGTCACTTTGGAAGTTTTGTCATTCCTGAATGTCTGGAGATCTTGGGACATAATTTAAAGACACCGAATCCGTGAAACCTGCTGAAACGTGTATTTTAAAAGAATCCCTCGAATTCCAGCGAACCGCCGTCAAACTGCATTACCATTCCCCAGAAAGTCCGGCGATTAAGGGCCGAAACCGCAAGCCACGCGTGGCAGCGGTGTTTGAACAGGCCACGAAGCGAGAATCGCGCGCGGTGCGCGTATCAGAGCGAAACGGCCGGGTTCTCGGCATTAAACAACCGCGAATCCGTGACAATTGTCTCGATCACGGCGCAGGCCCGGCCGGGCGCAGTAAATCGAGACCGATCATCGCGGGGGACAGACGTCACGGAAGCGCGCCGCGATCATCGAGCCCCCTGTTCGCCGCTGGGGGAGAAGCGGTCCGCCGCGATATCAATTATCTTCGATACGAATTACGGTTACACGGACCGGTCCGGCCCAGTATGGCGGAGGAAGGGGCGGGTTGGCTGTGGAAGTTCTGCGTGCCGGAAGTTCGACCGGGGATGAGTCCGGTGGGGGTAGCGAGCGCGAAGATACAGCCTGGAAGGGTTGCGAGGAGAGAGACAGAGGGACTGACGAGAGAAACGGAGAGAACGGGCGACCAAGAGAGAGAAAGAAAGAGCGAGAGGGGAAGAGAGAGAGAGAGATGAGGAAGCGCCGAAAATTGATGTATTCCCTATGCAAAATAGCAGAAGCACGGCGCTAGTAGCTGGACAACACGCAACCGGGAATCCTCTATTCCCGAGTCTCTACCTCTCTCTCACACCCTCTTTCTCTTCGGTCTGTCTCGCGTCTTCTACCACCATCTCCGTCACCTGGACAGAATCGAGAGCGGTATAGGAGCAATTAACACTCTATTAACACTAACGACGCTCATACGTAACAACGTTGCCGCAGGGATTGAATTTATGGTCTGTTAATGGGGGTTACTTTATGCGTTATGCAGCCGCGCGCGTCATTTCGACTCCCGGTGTCACGTAAATTTTCCCTGGGACTCGGGTCTGGATTCTTTATTGGCCGGGGAGACGTGTTACGTAGCTTGGGGATGCCCTGGGTCAGTGATGACCCGTGTCGAATGAAATGTTAAGTGTATCGTTCAACCACTTGACTTGCGGTTTATTGTATTTTAAGGAACAAGTATTGGTGAATCAAAGGTGAATGTATTTATGAAATGTTCTGTGAATCATAGCTAAAAATCAGGATGACAAAGGGTGCTCCAATTTCTTCGAGAATTACACCGAAAATTATTGTAAGGATACTCGCGAAACGGCCTAACGTTGTTTCCCCAGGTGTTAACGCAGCGATTTAACCGAGGATCGCGACGATCATAACCTAATTCCCATTTCCGAGCAGCATCTCGTTGAGAATCGAGGGGCCCCGGGAAAAAGGAGAAAGAGGAAACAGGTGTACGCGTAATCTCTCCCCGGCGGAACGCGAGTAAACAAGAAAGTTAGAGGGCTCACCGTTCGTCGAGTGCAGCGGAGTCGAGTGCCAAAGTTCATCGTGAGATCCTGCCCTCCTCACGGAGACGCGGCAAGGCCGGTAAAGTGATAAAGCGGCCATAAATTCTGACCGCCATCCTCCCACCGAGCCCCTCTATCTTGCCAGCTCTCCGCTCCGCCGTCTCTTCCTTCCCATCTTGTCTGCCGCGCACTCCGTCTTTCTCTCTCTCCCTTTCCCTCTGCGCTTCCATTAACCATGTTCCTCCTTGTCGGTCACCTCAGCAACCTGGATGCACCTGCAACAACGGAATTGGCAAAGGTCAGCACACGTATCGTCCGCTTAAATCCGTGGCTGTTGCTGATACTCACGCGATGACGGCTTCGTTCTGCCAATAAAAGAAACCAATTACGCGTTCGAGAAACGCGCGGTCAAGGATTCTTTTCAGCTGGAATACTTACCGCGGCGCCATCTTGGATTTTTGATACCGCCGACAAAAAGCGTTCGATCGAAGAAACTGATCAACCTGTTTCAATAATTAGATAGAATTTAAATTGTAATCTTTCTCGGTTTCGTCGATACTCTTTTGACGGTTGTACGAATAACTGATTCAGCGGTCACTTCGTGATCTTGGTCGAATACTTTTTGCAAAGGGTAATCTGGTCTTGAATCGTGGATCTACAGATGAACTAACTGGAGAATATTGTCCCTTTGTACTGCAGCCTCGTAACGACCACTGTCCCCTTGTCTATTTACGAGTTAATTCGTCCAATTCCGCCGGCAGACCGTCCTTGGCCGTGAATAGCCTCAAGAGACGAGTCGTCAATTGATCCAACAGACATCCTTGTCGATGCGCCATATTGATCTTCACCCAATTCGCTCGAGCCATTGTAACTCTAGCCAAGAGAGCTCGAATTACGCCGCACCGACCGGAAAGAAACCCGTGAATCGAATTCTGAAGATCGTCTTAACCATTGCCAATAAATAATATCACATCCCTGTGACCTGACACTTTAATTCCCTTACCGGTCACCGGTGGCCGACACATAACCAATTGATCGAACCACCTAAACACAATTTCCAATACAAGCTAATTCCGTCGTGTACAAAATACAGTCCAATCGAACAATTTCACATTCTTCCCTTCCATTTCTCGTTGAATACAGATATGTTTACAATACGAATCTCTGTAAGAAATGCATACAAGACGATCTTCGAGTTCCGTGGAAAAACTGGGCCTAAAAGAAATAGAAAGCAGCTCCGGGGACATTCTCAGGCGATTGTCCCCGCAGTCCGGCAAACAAAGGAGGCAAAACCAACGACAGCTGGGAACGGGGACGGAAATTGGGTCAGGCAAACAGGCCACGGAATTCCACGCGGAATGGAGACGTCCCTAGCAGGCAGAGAGGAAGAAGAAACCGTTGCAGCTGCAGTTTGGCGAAACGTCGAAATCCAATATCGCAGTGTTCCAGGCATACCGGGGCCGCCTAGAAGCTAGGCGCACGGTATGTTCGTTGCAGCGCAGGGGCGAACAGACAGAAATCCCAATAAATCATCCCGTCACGAGCCGTGAGCCAAGGCGGAGCCTCTTGCCTCGTATTAGCCAATAATAATCCTCTCCGAGGTGGAGGCCATCTTGGATTATACAATGGTTCCTTCCGCCACAATTCGTATAAATGCAACCTTCGGGTTACCGGGCAACCTTTCCGAAGGGTCCCAGTGGCGTACGCGCCGAAGAATATTTCCATCGGCCGGCGAAACAATTCACTGGACCCCGGCAGTTTTCAATGGCGCGACGCGACGTTCCCTGTGAACGTCGTTTGCGCGCTGGAAATCGGGAGCAACACGTGTAACCGATTGTCAGCTCGAGACTGTCGATCCGGAATTATTTATCGCGTGCATTCATTATCTTTTGAGCGAACCTTTGCGTGGAATTTCAGTCGTTAATCTCGCGCCGCTGTACAGATGCTCGGACATTTTTAGTTGTCATTGCAATTTACTTAATGAATGAAAATATCGAGATTACTAGAGATAATTGATTTATAGTATCGTTTTGCGTAGAATCAGGCAGGGAACTACAGAATGTAAATTTTGCTGATATTTTATAGGATGGAGTATTATTTTTGTTGAAATTTACGCGCTCCAATTCTTCTCCCGGATGTCCATTCCGGGAGGTTTTCGTAACGTCGGGTCGACGGTCTCGGGTTAATAAGAAACGGAGCGCAATTATCGATGGAAAGATTGGTACCGCGCGTCCCGATGAATTACGAATTAATTAATTAATCGGAGGAGAAGCAACACGGCGAAGGCACGATCAATCTCGCGAATCGAGGTCGAACGAACCCGACCGGTTTCCCAGAGTGGTATCCCCCTGGCCGTTCGGGCTCGGAATCGATAAAGTTTTGGCCCGAGCGACGCGCGCGAGACGAAAGTTGAAGAGGATAGCGTGCATCCGGTCTGACTCGTTTCCGCCAGGCACGTGTGACGTCCGCTTTTACACACTCGGCAAACGATATTCATATTCAACCACAATTTATTTCTCGTTTTCAAACACAGCTATTATAATTAATATAATTATTATTAATATGGACAGACTCTTATATAATATAATACAATACGGTTTAGACTTGTCGACATGATAGCGTTATAATACTATTATCGTTTCCCATCGTCTTTGTCGTCGTCTTTGTCGTCGTCCTCGTCGTCGTTTACTCATAATACATAGCTCATTCGCGTGGCATATCGTTCGTCATTGCAATCGTATCGTTATTATCGTAATCGTCGTCACCATCACCCATCATCATCATCATCATCATTATCATCATCATCATTATCATCATCATAATCAGCATCATCATAATCATTATCGGCATCATAATTATCATCGTAATTATCAGCATCAGCATCATCACCGTCATCATAATCGTCGTCATCATATTCATCAGCATCATAATCGTCGTCGTAATCATCATCATCATCATTATCATCATCATCATCATCATCACCATCATCACCACCATCATCATCATCATCATCATCATCATCATCATCAACA